CTACATCTTTTGTGATCTAGATACCCTTTGCCTCCCAAATCTGTTAGAACCATCCTCAAAAACGCTCATGAACTGAAGTCATAAATCCAGCTAATTACTAGACGGCTACATCTAAAAGAACCACATTCATCCAAACTTAACATAAGACAATAAATTAAGCCCTTTTATTTCTCATTCTTCACAAAGTTTTTAAATCCCATTCCACCCTCATGCAGATTCCCAACTCAATGAAAGAAACAAACTAAAAACCTTTATCTTACCCTCTAGTATTCCCTCCCTAGTCCCAAACCTAATGAAATTATCAGATTAGATGTATTTCCGGGCTAGAGCGATAGCACAATGGTAGGGTGTTTGCCTTGCACGCAGCCAACATGGCCGATCCAAGTTCGATTCCTCTGCCCCTCTCGGAGAGCCCGGCAAGCGACTGAGAGTATCTCGCCCGCATGGCAGAGCCTGGCAAGCTACCCATGATGTATTCGATATGCCAAACACAGTAACAACAAAGTCTCCAATGGAGACGATACTGGGCCTGCTCAAGCAAATCGATGAACGAGAGGACAGTGACAGTGACAGTGACAGATGTATTTCCAATACCTACCATCAGCATATTGCTGGGATTACCCTACTGATAATCTCCGCTCTAAATTTTAGTCCACACCTTCATCTATCCTCCTCACACAACAGAATGAGGTTTTGAAAATCTGATTATTTCAGTATCTCACTTAAAATTTTATAGCTAATTTACTTAATAAATTACCATGGGCCAGAGAGATAGTTCATGCATGCCTTGCACCCACCCAACCACAGTTTGATATCCACCATTGCACACGGTCTCCTAGGCACTGTTAGTGACCCCTGAGTGTATCATTAGGATTAAATCCTGAACACTGCCAGGTGTTAGCCAGACTATACACACACACACACACACACACACACACACACACACACATATACACAGCGCTATCAAAGAGCCATGCCTTAGAGGTTCAGTAAGAAATTACTCTAGTAACATCCTTTTTTTAAAAGTTCAAATCATCAAAAATCATCAGAATCTGGGTCTGGAGCAATAGCACAGCAGGTAGGGGGTTTGCCTTGCATGCGGCCAACCCGGGTTCAATTCCCAGAATCCTATATGGTCCCCTGAGCACCACCAGGAGTAATTCCTGAGTGTATGAGCCAGGAGTAACCCCTGCGCATCACCAGGTGTGATCAAAAAGCAAAAGAGAAAAAAAAGAAAAGAAATAAAGAAATTATCAGAATCATTAGAAAATGCTTTCAAATCCTAAAAATTACTTAAATATAATAGCTGATACATTTAAAATACCATGCAGCATTGTCTGTAAAATCTAACAATGAAAATAACCTTCTGACCAGCAAGATGTAATACCACCCAACTAGTATGAACTAATTGTTGAATAATCTCTAAACATTATTATTAAGTGCAGAGAGAAACTATATACAGAATGCAAGCATGTCCATGAAGTGTTTTGATAGAACATAAATTGGGTAACATAATATATATTATAATAATAGATAATAAAATAAAACAAGAACAACAAAAGTTGGATGAAAATAGTAAACAGGTGTAAACAGAAAACAGGTGTTTAGAGAAAAGGTAGAAAATAAACTTTTTACTGCAACTCTTTTTTTTTTTAACTGCGACTCTTTTGAACCTCTGAACTTCTTTGACTTTTACACTAATTATTATCTATAATTTGGGAATGGGGGTTGGTGTAATCATTACCTAGAATTTAAGTGAAATTTTTCCCTTCCTAAGTTTCATACAAAATTAAGTTTAAATGTGTCATCCCACACCAACATTAAAATTGTGCACATTCAATTAGAATAACTTTGTTCTTTTTGCTTTGGGGCCACACACACCCAACCCAACTATGCTCAGGGATTATTCCTGGTTCTTTGCTTAGGGGTCATTCCTAGCATTGTTTGATAGACCATACGCAGTGTCAGGGATCAAACCCATGTCCACAGCATGTAAGGCAAGTGCCTTACCTTCTGTACTATCACTCCAGCCCAGAATAAACCAACTCTTGACTGTTTTTTCTTGACAGATAAAGAGTTCAACTTCAGTATTTTATTCAATATTAGTTACTATTATCCAGAAGACTATTAATAATCACAGCATTGGAGATGTATTTAGGGGTACAGACTATGCCTTCACAGAGTCTAGAATCTATACTGGGCACCAAAACCGAAAACAGAAAAAGAAAATGTCACAAGTGAACAGTAAAAGATTACTGTACTTTCTCCCTGAAAAGCAAAACAATAACATCAAGTAGCAGAAATTTATTATTAAATCAACAGTAAAATCTTTGGGGATTAAGGAAAGCTATATTACTTTTCCAGGAAACTCAAAAGCAACAAAGCAAAAACAAGGACTTTTTTTTGTTTTGTTTTGTTTTTTGTGATTTAGGGTTTACTGCTGGTACATCTTAGGGGATCATATCGGATACCAGAGATCAAACCTGGGTTGGTCAAATGCAAGGCAAGCACCCTGCCAGCTGTACTGTCGCTCCAGTTCCCAAAGTACTAGAACTTTTATATGAGACTGCTATGTACACAATTGTCAAATCATGTACACCTAATACCAACGTTATAAATCAACGTTACCTCAATTATTTTAAAAAAGTACCTTGAGCTCCTTCAAACACAGTACAAAATAGATGTGAAAATATACAAGCCGATAAAGCAAAAATGATACCAGAGACAGTTAACAATTTGTACACCCTCCATCTCCACAAATGTACACACATAGCCCCAGCTCTCCACAGATCTGCACCTCACAAATACAGACACACACTCCCCTTTCCATAGAGGAGTATCACCTTACATATGTACACCCCACATGTTTACACACAAACTCTCCCTCTCCATAGATCCATACCTCATACGTACACACATACACACACACATACATATACACACTCTATAGGTCTGTATTACCTCACAGGTATACACATACACACCCTCCACAGAGTCATACCTCACACACACATATAGATTCATTCCCCCACACCACAGATATACACACGTGCAAGCGCCACACACACACACACACACACACACACACATTGTATACTTATGCTACCTTACAGTAGTATAGATATATACACCCACATACAAATCCTGTCTTCACAGATCTGTACACATATGTGGGATACACCATGGATCTGCACTACCTCACTGACATACACACCTCCCTTCTCCACAGATCCATATCTCATACATACAAACACTCCATAGATCTGTACTACCTCACAGGTATACGTGTATACACAAACACACACATTCTCCATAGATCTGTACTTCACACCAACACGGAGACACACCCTCCCTCTCCAAAGGTGCACACAAATACACACACTCCACAAATATATGCTACCTCACTGGGCGTACACACACATACTATACACAGCATAGATCTGCACAACCTCACATGTATACACATACACCCTCTTATAGATTGTATTTTCACGTACAAACTCCATAGGTCTGCACTACCTCACAGGTGTCTACACATACATTCTCTCTCTCTCTCTCTCTCTCTCTCTCTCTCTCTCTCTCTCTCTCTCTCTCTCTCTCTCTCTCCTGGCCCAAATTCTCCAAAAATGGGGGACTCGGTAAGCAAACCCCCCGCCCCCAGACCATGGCCAAGAGGTCTCCATCCAGGACCAGAGCGGGAGGAGGCGCGGCGGGAACTGGGTCTCGAGCCAGGCAAGCGCGCCAGAGAGGCGACAGGTGTGGTGGGGGGGAGGGGGCGAGGCCGCTACCAGGAGCGCCGCATCTCGCCGCATCTCCCGAGGCCAGAGAACGTGGGGCTGGACGGCCGTCAGGGCAGGAGAAAGGCCCAGCGGCCAGCAGGGTGCGGGGGTGCGATGGGAACGTGGGGGGGAGGGAGGGGTGGCCGGCGGCGTCGGGGCTGGGCATCACCGCGGGAGGGGGCGGCCGTGGCGGGCCGCGGATCTCGGGGGTCTGGGGTCCCGCCGGCTGGCGGGGAGGAGGCGACGCGGCCGGGCGGCTCCAGTCAGAGTCCTCCGGGCGTCCGGGGGCGCGCGGGCGGGGGCGCCGGCCGAGGGTCCGGGGCCCCTGACAGGATCGCCGGATTAAATCCTGAACACTGCCAGGCGGGCCGGAAAGGCGTCTGGCCAAGGACAGACCGAGGGGTGGGGTCGGCGGGGGCCGGCGGGCCCGCGATCGCGTGTCGGGAGGCTCCCGGGCGTCTCCGCCGGGGCGGGGCGGGGCGGGGCGGCCCCGCAGGAGCCGGAGAGCGAGAGCGAGACGTGGGCCGGGCCGGGCGGGCAGGCCGCCGGGCGGCCGGGGCGGGTCTTACCTCGGGCTCCGCCGCGGCGGCCCCCACGGCCCCCTCCTCCGGGGCGGGCGCCGCCTCCCACCCTCAGCTCCAGGGTCTGGCCCGAGAAGGCAGCCGAGGCCGGGGCCGCGGGGGGCCGGACGGCGTCGAGCGGGTGGGCCCGGCGGCCTCAGGGTCCCGGCGAGCGGCCGCCGCGCATCCCCCGCCCTGTCAGCGAGACTCCGCCCGGCCTGGGCAGGCACATCCCCGGCCGCACCCCGCCAGGGAGCACGCGTCCGACCGCCGCCTCCGCCGCTGTCGCCGCCTCCTCTGGGGACTCTCCCTGCGCCCGGCAGCACCGCGCGGCCACCGCCAACCGCCGCCGCGTCCCTCGCCCGCCCGGGCCCGCGCGCACCCGACCCCGCGCACGCGGCCCCGCCCCGCGCGACTCCTCGGGCTGCAGAAGAGCCGGCGCGCGCGCACTTACCTCCCACACCCCCGAGCGCCCGCCCCGCCGGGCCCGCCGGCCCAGTCCCGACGCCGCCCCCGCACGTGACGCCGCCGGGGAGTGCCCTGCGCGCCTGCGTGGCCACGCCCACCGCCCCGCCCCGCCCCGGCGGCCCCGCCCCGCCTTTCCGTCCTCACCTTACGGCCGGGCTGCGAACTGACTTATAGTCTCCCTCTGCTGGAGAGAAATGTCGCGAGGCTGGGGCCGAAAGCTAGGTTTGCGACCTGAACTCTCGCTTTCCGGCCACTGCCGAAAAGGTGTCTGGAGGCTGGTGGTGGCGGCGGCGAGGAGGCCCGAGGCAGGTAAGACGCCGCCGCCCCCGCACTCCGGCCGGTCGGTCGCTGGGGCCTGGCGGGGGCCCGCTGCGGTGCGGGCGCTGGTCTGGCGCGTGGCTGCTCCCTCCCCATTCTGGAGCGGGCTCCTCGGCGCCGCCCCCCGAGCCCCCGCCCCTTTTCCACGCACACGCCCCTTCCCCCGCGCCCGCCTCCCTCCCCTCGCCCCTCCCCGCCCCTGGCTTCCTTTTCCCGATCTTCCTTTCCATTCATTCCTCGCCCCTTGGCCCCGAGCGCGCGGGGCGAAAGTCAGGAGCGGAGGAAACAGCCTCCGCTTCCTGAAGCGCCGCGTTCTCTGGAAGCCGACCTGCAGACTCCAAAGAAATTACCTTCAGGGGGGAAAAAAAAAAAAAAAAAACATCGAAGCCCGGGGACTCGAGAAAACCCTTTTCAGGGTGACCTCGGGGTCATTGGGGTTAAAAAAAGGCAAATCTCTGTGAAGAAATTTGAGCGGAGGTCAAAGCCCGAGAGAACGACGGGTCCCAAGGCCTGTGAGAGTCCTGGAAGAAAAAGAAGTTCGAGAAGGTCGTTCACGTGATAGGACACGTGTGTGGCATGTTCAGGGGCCTGGGCTCGGGGGAGCGCTGGATCCGCGCTCGAGAGATTACTCCCAGCGGCGCCCGGGGTGCCAGGGGTGCCAGGGGTCGAACCCGGCGAGCCGGTTGCAAGGCAGATGCCTTAATCCCTGTACTATCTCTGCAGCCCCAAGCGTTGGTTTAACGCATGGAGAAGATGGGCTGGAATGATGGATCCAAGAATATTTTCTTTAAAGTGGGGAAAACTCTGTAAGCATAAAAGTGCACCTTGGAACCACGAGTAGACTTTCATGGGTGGAAGTGACTACATAAAATCAGGAGCATTAGTGGAACTCAGCTTGTGTAGACCTTGAAAATCATCTGAGAAGCCTATTTAAAAGTAAATAATCAAAAAAATAAAAGTACTGTCAGGGGCAAAGTGATGGTATAGTGGGTAGAGTGTTTACCTTGCAGGAGGCCAACCTGGGTTCTATCCCTGGCACTCCATCTGGTCCCCAGAGCCCACCAGAAGTGATCTCTGAGCACCACCGGGTGTGCCCATAAAGTAGTATTCCCCCCTCCATAAAGTAGTATCAGTATTGTTTCCCCCAATACTAATTTTAAAAGCTTGAGAGGTTAGAGCCCAGGGGACAGTATTTTTCAGTTTTTTCCAGGTTCATTATCTTTTGTTTTGAGGCCACACTGGGCAGTGCTCAGGACTTGCTCCTAGCTTAGGGATTGTTCCTGGCAGTTTTGCCAGGAGTCTACCAGATGCGAGGCAAGCCTCTTCCCCTTCCCCTCTGTACTATCTGGTGGGGCATACTCCCCAGGTGAAGAATGAATGCTAAGGTGTGAGAACCAGTAGAAGTAGGGACCGATAAAAAGTAGGTAAGGAAAGGCTGGAAGATGATGGAGTAACAGTTGAGTGAGAAAGTTAATGACGGAAAGAGAAGATTAGAGGATGGAAATCCTTATTGTCTGGTCTGGGGAATTGGAGTAGGAGCCACTCTAGCCTTTTCCTTCACAATTCCATCCCTCAGTCTTATTCAGAGCTGCTTCATACACTCCCTCTCCCTTTCCCTTCCATCTAGGGTTTTTCAAATGTAGATCCTGCCTTAGAATTCAAGAGCATTTACCATTTTATCCCAAATCAAAGATTAACTTTTATCCCCCAAGAGACTATTATACACAACACATTTGCATTTTAGAATCTGTATTCTCTTATTTGTTTCAGCCATCATTTAAGTTACACATAGCTATAAACATGTTTTAGACATGGTCATATTAGGATCTCATGGCAGAGAAAGGCTTTATAGACAAAGTCTAAGTCAGTATGTGGTTACTGCCTTTTTAACTAGGGTTAATGCCAAAACCTGCATATCTGCCTCCAGATAAGAGAGAGTTACTGTTGTCTGGTATGACCAGGGCATAGTAAGGAGAGTAGGGGTGGGGCAGAGATAAAGATGATAAAGTGGGTGTTAACAGCATGAGAAGCTGTGTAAATTTCAAGCTGAAGTGTTTATATTGTATATTATAAGCAGCTAATGGGTATGAAAAGGTAGAAATAAAATAACCTCTTCTATGCTATGTACCTCTTTGACAATCTGGCCTGTGAACCCTACCTCAGAGTTTGTACAGTATATGTTTTTTTTTTAAAAGTAACAAATTTTATTTACAGATGAAATATGTGATGATGCATTTAATAACGTCAGGCAGTCATTCAGTTTGTGTAATTTCAAAATAATAATGAGTATAAATTACATTCTGAGATATCTGCAACAACAAAGTGAGATATGAAATATGTTTCTATTGGTGAAAAATAACAGGGACTGCTAATACCACTGTTGTTTATTGCCTACCCTTACTGTAGGAAATGCTACAGTTAGAGATAATTGAAAATAAAGATATAATTTTCCCCGGTTCAAATTCATGGAACCTTTCAATTCTAGCCACATCCTGGCCTATTGATCCTAGACTTATAAAAAGCTCATGTAATGATGGTAGGGAAGAGCATTACAAAGCAAGTCTGTGTTTCAGAAAGGTACTAGAGCAATTTTCATTTCTGTTAAAGTGGGAATGGAAAATAGGCCTTTTCTTTCTGCTCTTCATACCTCAGATATAGCAACTGATATGAGTCTACTGTTACCTAATAACTTGGGCCTAAAGAGGAATGAATTTGTGGGTAGAGGCAGAACTAGAAAATAAATCAGGAAAGTAAGATGGATGATATTTTTGTGGAATGCTGGACGGTGATTTATAGACAATTGAGAGATGTTGAGTTTAAGTATAATAACAGAGTTTTGCTTGAAAAAATAATCTAGCAGAACTGTAATTTAGGCTAACAGAATATAGGAATGAAAATACTAGATTTGGGCCAGAGAAGATCAGCTGACCAGGTTTGATCCCTGACATTGCATATGGTCCCAGAGCACAGAGCAAGGAGTAGGCAGTGAGTACCACTAGGTGTGCCTCAAACAAACAAAAAACATTTATTATGAAGTAATCTCTAATGACTGCTGAGTTCCTTTATTTCCATAATGTGACTGATTAACAGCCTAAAGAAATATAAACTAGAATAAATGACTTACCTTTCAATAGGTATGTGCCTGGCACCATTGAAGTCAGTTAGCATCTTTTTTTGTTTTTGTTCATGGTCAGGGTGACCAGCTCATTTTTTGTATTATAAATCATCATTGTTATTAATTACGATAAAGCAGTGCTTTACCATATTATAGGTTCCCAGCTGTTGCTAGGAATTTCCTTGGTTAATTTTCATCATCTACACTACACTTGTAAGTCATACATTTCTGAGTCAAGGTTAAGACTTCTTCCCAATTTATTAAACCAGTGTCTTCAGCCACTAGTCTATTGATGGTTGCAGGTCTGCTAGCATAAATGGGTTAAAAAAAACACTGGTGTACCACCATAGTTATAAATACCAGTCCGTGGTCTGGTATGCAGGCAGGTGCCAGTCCTCACCAATTGTAAAAAAGGTTAAAAACGTCTGAAAGTGTTAAAGAATGCTGCCTTCAACCACTGAATATGTAAAATGCTTTAGCAAACAGAAATAAAATTCTCATGGTCCTGGTAACCTATCTGCTAACATTTACTACCACACTATAAAACTAACTTTCCTCATTGTAGCTAGTCCCCAAATTGTGTGCATTTAAAATACATTCAAAGTACTGAATCTGAGATCCAGGTATTACAATTCAAACGAGTAATAAAAAGTTACTTGACTTTCTAAATCAGATTGGAATCTCAATTTTACTAGCCTATGTTGACTTTCTTTCTGTTTAACCACTGGAAAACTGCATAGCATTATCATTCAACATAGACTGATGATCAGATTCTTGTAGAGGTTTAAGTTCATCTATATGTCTTGTTTTTTTTTTTTTTTTTGGCGGAAACAGAAAACTGGTCTATGTAAAAACAAGAGAGAACACTTGTAATTTTATGAGGCTGTGTAAAAGTTTCTATTACAGAAAATCTTGAGAATACTCTCGAGATTTCTGTCTTCCAATTAAATGGGTACCCCTTCACACATTCATTTCTCTAGATCACAGAAAACCATTAGATCACAGTACTAATTCTGGTAGAAAAAAATTCTCCTGATTACAGTTATTTTTTAGCATCTACACTACAGGCTTAATTTTTTTTTTCCCCTCATGAAGTCAGGGAGATAGCTCAAAGGGCTGGTGAACATGTTTTATATGCTGGAAACCCAGGTTCAATCCCTGGTATCCAGAATGCCACCAGGGACAGTTCCTCAGCAACCTACTGGGAGTATTCCCTGAGCAGCCCCAGAGCACTACCAAGTGTGGCCCAAAAAAACAAAATGTGTAACATATCTTCCCTGATGGCCAACAAATTAGTATATACTCTGAGTTGTGGGCTAGGTTAAGATCCTTCAAAACAATAGCTAGGGGATTTCTGTGTTTAATTGGCTCTAATTTTCTCACAACTGTCTGTTACATCAACTTTGTACTTTATGTTAGTTAAATGCAGCTAAAATAAATTGCTGCTGGAGATATTTAGTGCTGCCTATTAATATAGAACTGAAACATGGTCAAGTATGTCATGAGTATTAACATTTAGAGACAAATCACTGAGACAAAACTGTGTATCTTAAACATTTCCCATCAGATCCTATTTTTCTTTCAGCATAGTAAAAAAATATAAATTCATTATTCGCTCACTAAATATTTATTGGGCCTCTACTATATGACAGTCACACTTTCAAAACCTATTAGGAATTTATAGTAAGTTTACCTCTTTTTGTTGTTGTAGTTGTGGAGGGCCATACAGTGCTGGAATGGAACTCAGGACCTCACATATGCAAGGCATGTGCCCTACCACTTAAGCCACATTCCTGACCCCAATAACAATTTACTCTGAACTAGCAATGGAAACATTAACTTACCAGGCACTGAACTCTACAGTGCAAGAAAGATT